TTTTTTTCTTAAGTAGTTACTTTTCTCCCTTATTTATTATGTCCCAGAAAAAGACCTGAAATGGGACAAAGGAGACTGATGTACTTGCTATGTCTCTACCCCCTTCCCACCTTGGGAATGTTGTAAGCACTCCAAACGATGTCTGAATCTGTGCTGTTTTCTGTGTGTGTTTAGAAGCATAGGATAACCAGTGAGGTTTCTCACGCAGTGTTTCTTTATCTCTTTTTGGAAGTATTGGATTTTTTTAGATCTGTTTTGTCGTTGGGAGTTTGACATTGGATGACTTTATAAAACATTTTCCTAATTGGATTTGTTAAAATAAATAAATCAAACACTAATTGGACTGTGCCCTGCCATTATTTTTGCTTACTGAATTAGATATTATGGCGTGAAGTTCTTTTTATCATATTTGCGCACTTATTTAAACACCCCCCTGGCGCACATTTCTGCAAATTCAATTATATATTCAAAGGAAGCATTCAATTTATGCAAGGCTGGTTTACATTTAATCCGGGGGCAAGTCTCAGTGACTGATGATAGGTCTGCTCAAGATTAATTAGCATCATTCATATGAGCAGTGGCATTGTTACAAGCCTGCAGTGTAAAACAAGGGATATTTTATCCTTCCTATGTGAGCTGTTATTTGCTTCAGTATGACCCTTTTCAGGAAGAGAAGAGCTTCTTGTTTGGGTTTCATTTTCTGAAAAGGGGTCAACACCACATGCATTATCTAACAATATCAGTCATATCCATTCGCTTTTCTTTTGCCCCGCTTAGCAGCTGCATTTGTCACTGTTTAATTTTCAGCCAAACATGGGAAAGACTCCAAGATCCCCGTTAGCTTCCTAAAAAATCCTCATTCTTGTTAATACATGAAGCTGTAGAACCCTGTTTTAGCAGATGTGTAGGTGTTTTCATGTTCCTCAAACACCTTCCTGATACTGCAGCTAAAATGATAACGTGCCAACCTGGTACCTAAATTCATTGAGTGGTATCGTCTTTCAATTTGAGGATTATTCTTTCTATGTTTATGAATAGCTCTGCTTTCCTGCGAAGCAGTCTTGTTTCAGCAATGGATGATTCTGCATTAGGATGGATCTAACCTTCCCCCCTTCCCCTTTATGTTCTAATGTATTTAGGTGTAGCTCATATTTAGGTATCCACGTAAGCAGCGCGTCTTCGGAAATACTTGAAGTTAAGCTTATGAATGTAAGCCATCTGGTCAATTTCGCCTGTCAGTTCACTTGACAGTTATTACCCCCACTGAAGTGGACGCTTTAAATGTAGTCTAAGCTGAACTTCGCTAACGGGGTGTAACCGCGTGTTTAGGGGTCTTGCAGCGCGGACCGCTCGATCCAGGGGGTGAGCACGGGAAGCGCCTCCTCCAGGAGCGGGACGGGTAAACACGAGCCGGGGCTGGGTTCGCGTTTCGGAAGCCGGTGTGTGTCTAAGAGCCCGGCTCCACGGCCCCGTGCTGCAGGCGCGGCCTCGGCGGGGAGAGAGCGGGCTGCGCTGCCCCGCAGTGCGCAGGCGCGGGGCGGAGTGCTGCGGGAGCCGCGGGGGAGCGCACTTGAGGAAGGGGAAAGGGCGGGAAAAGGGGAGAGGAGCAGTGAGGGAAACCGTCCTGAGGGGAGCGCGGTGGGCATGGAAGTCCCGAGGTGAGGTGAGGCGGGGTGGGGTGGAAGGTTCAGAGCCGCTTTTGAGCGTGGCTGCCTGTAACTGGAGCTGTGGTGCTGTGTGCCGTGCTCTGCAGGAAGGGTGGGAGTAAGGCCACCTATGGTACGCTCGTTTGGCAGGTATGAACAAGTAACTGCTACGTCTGGAATACTGTACATGTTGTGATTTTTCCCTTCCTCTTTCTGAAGTTTCTTTCCTGTTCTGTAGTATTATGTATGCTGTAATAGCGCAGAGGAGTTGCTGACTTTTATCTACCAAGTTAATACAGCGCTGAGTCCAAACTTCCCTTTTAATTCTGCTCTTTTGACGCCCCATAGCAAGAAGCAGATGGAGACTTCCCTCCTCTTGGGTACCCAAGATTCCTGCAGCCAGCCTGCTTGTCTGTGCCTTAAAGTTGACTCGGATTTTTTCTCCTTGTCCTCATTTCCTGCAAATTCACCTACAAGCTCCAATTCTGTTGCTTCTGGTAAATTAATCCTTCTGGTTTATTGCCCTGCCACTCTGCATTTGGAGGTTTCTCCACTAACCTGTTAGGTCTTTAAAATGTAGGTGCCTTGCTGCTATTTTTCAGGCTCTGTATGGTTTATTCTTGCCTTTCTTACCTAATTGTACTGCAAGGTTAGCTTTGACTTTCAGACAAGGCACTTTAGAAGCTTTCCCAGGTGTTCTCTTATCAGTGGAAACTCCCAGTCTTGCCCAGGTTCTCACCGTATCCTCTCTTCAGTCCCTCTGCTGACTTTGCCTGCTTCAGCGTGTGTAAAATAACTTACTTAGCTGATTAGAGCAAGGTATTGATAGTTACATTCCCTGTTATATGAGGATTGCTACCCCATATTTTGCTGCTGTTGCTTGTTTTGCTTCTGGGACCTCGGAACAGCGCCTGTGCAATTTTCTCTGTGTGCATGAGACCTCGTACAATTGTCTGGCTCCATCAGAGACTTTGTGTGCAATCCCTTCAAAGTGATAGCTCAGAGACAGCACCGTTATTGTGCGCTGCATTGCGCTGAGCAGAGGTTGTGTGGGGATGGTTTGTGTCTGGAGTTGTGCTATTAAAGGGGATCTGTCGAAATTAGAATGCTCTGGTTGGAGGCTGAGAACAGGCGGTTTGATGTCTCTCATACCCTCTCGCTGTGAAAAAGGTGACTTTCAGTTGTATTGCATACTCCCACACAATCTGGAGCACCTTGATTTTTCCCTTAGACGTTTTAATGAGCATGTTTAATATTCTAAACTTGAACTTTTTCACCTATATTAGATTTATCAAATTAAGGAAACATTTTAAGTGTAATCCTGCTCATTTTGACAGCTGGCAAAGCTTCACAAGTGCAGTAAACTTAAAGAAGAAATTACTAAAATAGTGTAAAATAATGACACAAAGGAAATATTTCTAGAGACTTGACTCTAACAGGCAAGTTTACGAGGGTTATAGAATGTGCTGTAGTCAGATTTATTTATCATGGAAATATATGGTCTATCAAATGTTTTTTTAGGAGAAGCTCGTGTTTAAAGTCTTCTTCAGCAACAGGGTATTTTTACTTTATTGTAAGGGTGGTGAGGCATTGGCACAGGGTGCCCAGGGAAGTTGTGAATGCTCCATCCCTGGCGGTGTTCAAGGCCAGGCTGGACAGAGCCTTGGGTGAGATGGTTTAGTGTGAGGTGTCCCTGCCCATGGCAGGGGGTTGGAACCAGATGATCTTAAGGTCTTTCCAACCCTGTTCTATGATTCTGTGATTTTTTTGGGGTGTCAAGCACTCTACCCAACAAATCCTTCCAGTATACACTTAAATAGAAATACTATGTGAAGCTTTGTAGAAAACCAGTTGTGGCTGGAGTGAGCATAAAATCCGTTAGCAGAATGAGGATTTATAAATATTAATGACATGGTATATATTTGTGTTCATCATTTATGAAGAGTTCTACAGGAACAAAGACAAGTTTGGGCTTTTCTGGAACTAGACAATAGAAAATATACGTGGAAACCAAAGAAGGCTTCTATGTCCCCATGTTGGATAATCCTTAAAAAAGAACCATGGATCACTCATGTTCCATCTATTCATTCAGTGCGTATAGGCAGTGCAGCCTGTGGGAAGGAGTAAAGAGTCAGGAGCATCTCTGCCTGTAACTCTGATTAGTGTCAAGAGCAATTGGCAACTTGGCTGGCAGAGCAAGTTCGTGTTGTCTTGAGCTCAGTCCTTGCAGCCTGAAAGTGTGAGATGTCCAGTTGCCTGTGGAGGAATAGTATCTGCAGAGAAAATGTATCCTTGCTTCCATAAGAGAGAAAGAGCTGTACAGAGACGCTGTTGACATGATTAATGTCTAAAGTCAAGGACCTGGGCTGCCTGATCTAATAGATCCAGTACTGGAATATGTTTGGCAGACTAAGTTGGGTGGATGTGAAGAGGAATGTGCCTGAGGTACTTGTAAGGGACACCAGCAGAGGAATATCCATCCTAGCAGGGAATAAAGTAGCTTGATTTGTCTGTGTGACACACATTTCAAATCTGTGCTGGAATACAGAATTTCATTGCAGTGTTCATGGATTTCCCTTGATCCACAAGTGTTGAGGCAGCTGCCAGGTTATTTGTGACAGTTAACTCCTTCCAAGTATTTCAGGAACTGCAGTAGGGAAGATCACAGTCAACAGTCTGGAAGGTGTGAATGTGGGTTGCCATCCACTCCTTGTTACTCTCTTGTTGTCAAGAACGACACTGCATTCAAAAGTATCACAGGAAAGACCTTGAGGAATGGTCATGTGCCACTCAGAGCTGCATGTTGTTATGCAGAAGAGATGGTTAAAAGGCAGGTTGCACTTTCCATAGGTGTAACCCAACCTTGTGTAATTCGAGGCTTAAAAGTGAAGTGAGGATTCCCTGTAGGAACAGCAGTGTACTTGTTTACCATCTGTGTTTCTTCTTCCGTCCTCCCACTTCTCACTCTCCTGTTCTATTTTTCTGGGGTATTTTTGCTTTTAATACCTGACTTGGGGGGGTTATGTAATGAACTCTCAGTTTCAGGGACCCAAATGCAAATTTTCTTGCATGTGCACATCATATGCTTGTAAATGTAAAGGCAATAAGCTGAAATAAAGGGAACTGATCTAGGAAGCAGTAGCACGGAAGGAAGAAAACAAAGGCTTCCAATGGATACAAAGTGTGGAAAGAACAGAAACGTTTTCTGAATACCTCCTCTGCTGCCTGAAACCTAGTATTTTTTTTTTTTTTTCCCCCTGGGTAAACTTGGGTATGAAATATTTAAGTAATTGACCGGCCATAATGAGGGATAAATAAATAATACAGGAATGTGTTTGTTTTTCTTGGTTTTAGGTGGTTGTTCGTTTGATGAGCACTACAGTAATTGTGGTTATAGTGTGGCCTTGGGAACCAATGGATTTACCTGGGAGCAGATCAATACCTGGGAAAAGCCAACAATGGATCCTGCTGTCCCAACTGGTAAGTAAGAATCCCCAGCAACAGTGGGGAGATGCTGTTCTCTGAGAGAATCGGCTCTGAGCCCTAAATGGGTGTGTACAGGGTCTGGGTACCAAACCAGAACCCAGTATGACTTTTGTGTTCAAAATAATTTGACAACAGAGTTCATAAATGTGCGTGTCTTTTCCCAACATTTGCCATTTGATATGTTTGTTGAGTCATTTTACATAGCTTATTTATACTTTAATCCTGTGTTCAACAGAGAAGCAGTGTTTCAGGTCTAACATTCTAAGGCTTGGCCAGTTTTTTGCATGTTTCAGAATCGCAAAGCTGGCTTTTCTGGGAGAGACATGTTTGAGAGGTCAGAAAAAATAAAGTGTTGTAATGCCTGGGAATATTGGACCGTCCAGTAACGATTTAGCTCTTAACTGACAGCTTTAAATTCTAATTCTGAGAAAGACAAACTCCTAAAAAATGAACTGCAGTAGTCAGTGCTTGATTTGGCTGGGATTTCAGACTGCAATTTTCATGTGCAAAACCCACCCATTTCCAACAGGGAGTTACCAGAATATCTAATTTACTAACATATATCGAGAGCATCCAATAATATCAGTCTTCCGCGTGATAGGAATATTCTCTGAAGAGCTCACAATAATGGTGATTTCCAATAGTTTTGTTTCCCACTGGAGTCACCGTTGTGATATGTGTGGGAGTCGGTTCTCTAGCCTTAAAAATGTTGTGGAATGCTTTATTCCCATTGAAAAAGAACTTAAGAAAGCCTGTTAAATTTTTGTTCCTTGCCACCTACAGTAGCAGCACAAGCCCCTCTAATGGAAATAATGATAGTGAGACCTGACCAGCCAGTTAAGACTTTGATTTCAGTCTTAAGAAGGAAGTATTTGTTACAATTAGTGCATTGCACTCTGAGAAGCATGAGCTATGTGGCAGAACCGGAATGTTGTGTTGTTCAAGAGGTATTCTTATGGCTGTAATTACTGGGGTAAGAGACTTGTAATTGCTCACTGTGTGCTAAGGCTACCATGTAGAGCTGATACAATAGCTCCCCGATTGACAGCCCAGTCTTCATCCCTGTATGCTTTTTGTCAGTAGAAAACAAGCACACAAGATACCAGCCTAGCTGCAGTTTCTCCGTCACTAAAGGCTGGTTAAGTTGTGGGGTGGTTTTATTATTGGAGCTTGTTCAGAACAGGATCTTTCAGAGCATGTAAAGCCTCGTTCAAATTGATTTGGCTGTGGCATCCGCAGAGTTAATTTGGAATGTTGCAGCTTTCTGGTATTTCATTGTTCTGGATGTTGTTCCTTTTTAATCATGGCAATTTAATCTCCGTAGTATCTTGGCTCTTACCTTGTGTCCTGTTCCCTGACCCTGCTGAAGACCTAGCTAGAGACACATAGCAGATCTTTGAATTAACTGATACCAGAGTGAACTGAAGGAATAGGAACATGTGCAGTTTTGATCCAATTTGGAAAGCAAAGAATTAATAAGAGAGCTTATATGGCTTGGACTGAATGAGTTCAATACTTGTCAACTCTGAATGGTAAAGGATCTATCTTTCAGGACTCTATATGGAAATGTATTATCATCTGAAGTACACTGGAACCATAGAGAAGTAAGTAGAGAAACAACAGTCTGGAATGCATGGTAAAAATGCCAAACAAACCAAACCCCAAAGCACAAATGTAATTTTTAACAAGGCTTTCAGAATTATTTCTTCTAAAACTAGCTAGAGGTGTTTTTCCCCCTTAATACATCGCTTCATGGTATCTAGTAGCACTAATAAATGATACAAAGATCTTAGAGCAGCTGCAAATTTAATGAAGGCCAGACAACAAATAAGAAACAGAGTTTTGTTGTAGAAAGATGCACAGGTAAAGCAGCTGCCAATGTGAATGTGCTGATAAAGAAATATTACCTGAAGAGATTTGAAGGAGCATACGGAGAAATTACTCAGATCCTTATGTTACTAACTGATGTCTTGTCTTAGGAGTATTCACACAGCACAAAATGTGAAATTAGTAGGTAGAAAAAGCTTGACCGCAGCGAAAGTGCACAGAAGGCTCTAGTAACAAAAACACGTATTCAAGGGCTGTCCAAATCACACTAACCTTGAAGTAAATTATAGTGGTCAATTAGAGTCCCTGAAGCTAACAGAGACGTTCGGAGCTATTATTGAGAGTCTGGGCTGCTGCACAGAATCGTAATGCATGTTGCTTGTATTTGGTATGTATTGAAAAGTCTGTTTTGTGAGAATTAAAGATGTTTATTTAAAATTCGTGTAGTGGCAGAGTTGGGCGAATCAGCTGATGAACAGCACGTTCCATTCCCACAGATAGGGACATCTTTAAAGCCAGAGGGCTGGAATGATTATGGTGGTTGGTTTTCCATTGCATTTAATTTCTTCACAGTAGCTGGAAGCAGTGGGATGTAAATCCATTGAGCTGCAGGGTGTAAGGGATGGCAATAGAGGGTAGCTTTAGATTAGATATTGGGAAGAAGTTCTTCCCTGTGAGGGTGCTGAGGTGCTGGCGTAGGGTGCCCAGAGAAGCTGTGGCTGCCCCATCCCTGGCAGTGTTCAAGGCCAGGTTGGACACAGGGGCTTGGAGCAAGCTGCTCTAGTGGAAGGTGTCCCTGCCTGTGGCAGGGGTTGGAACTGGATAAGCTTTAATGTCGCTTCCAACACAAACCAGGTTGGGACTCTATAAGTGAGTATCTTCTGGTGGCCAGCTGTAGCTGGGAAAGCTCCTTGGCATGAAGGGAGGAGTCAGGAGTGCCAGAACACATGGGTTCTGAGAATGCAATAAGTAATATAGATTTTCTTTATCAGTATGGCAACTTAAATATTACCTTACCATTACCTTTTTGTAGTTGTTAATAGGTTAAAATACTACATTGTGGAAGTGGTGAAAACAAAATGGGAGCAGGAGTTGGTTTGGTTCAATGATACTAAGCAAGACTGCAGCGCAACCTGCTGGGAGCCGGTGGCAGGAAGCATGGCCTGGCCCCGGCCTGGGCAGCCCGCCTGCCTTCACAGCAGAGCTCTTTTCTTCTCTCAAATGTGTCTGCTTTCAGAAGATCCCTTTGAATTCAACCTAAGCCATGGAATTCTGGCCTCCTGAATACTAATGATAATATCCAGCCCTTTTTACAGTACTTCTCATCCTTAGATCGCAGTTCAGTACCATGGGTGAGAGCCTGAGTCTGCAGTGCTGTGTAATCCTCTGCTGACACACTGCTGCAAAGCTCTGCCCGGGGACAACTTTCTACTCTTTATTTTTTAAATTAAAATGTCAAAAAAGAGGGGAAAAAAGGACAGTTCTCCTGCTCTATTAGCAGTGTAGACGTTGGTAGGCAATTTGTTTTACTCCATTGCTGGCAAATAAACTGTTTTCCATGATTTCTATGATTAATTCCTTAGGGCTGAAAGCAGCATTAACTGGGGGATTAAGAACCAGATGTTTGCTCTGAGTAAATGTTTCAAAACCTGAAATTAATTGATGAAATTAATGAAAGAAATGAATTGTAGGTGTTGCGTCCTCAGTCTTCGGTGGGACTCTCATTGCACCGCCTTGCAGGAGGTATTACAACAAAACATCCTTTAACAGATGGGTGTTTACTTAAGCCTGAATACCCTCAGCGATGAGTAGTAGACAGCCTTTGGGCTGTTTGTTCCACTGCTTAAATTAGAAAGTTTCTCAGTCCTTCATTTTCATTTTTATGGCTTCATCTCAGTGGTTTTTTGTTCAGTCCTTCACTAGGGAGAACAATCAGTTGTTGGTCTCTTTTATAGCCTCCTTTATATAGTTGCACGCAGTTAAGTCTTTGTAGGGCTGAACCTGACCTACTCCTTTTAACCTTTCCTAATTCAGTGTCTCATTTCCTTCTCTACCCTATACTTTCAGTCATCGCTTTCTGATCTTTTTGGGGTGTTTGCCTAAGTTTGTGTTACCAAGGAGGGGTTCAGTCCTCTGCATGGCAGGGCAGGGCACAAGACTTTAATCCTGTTATAGAAGTTCAAAGTACAGCCAGTAGATTTCCCCTGCGCCTCTTTATTTCCATCTCACAGTTTTCATTGCCCTTTTTCTGTAAATACTCAGTCTTTATGTGCTGGTGTTGGGTGATGTATGATGGACATGGCTGTTTAGTTTATGTTGGATCACAGAAGTGATTGCCTTGGTGGTAAAGTAGGGCCTGAGCTTTCCTGTATTTTTAAGGCCGATGCTTGGTTGGTACAACAAGGAAATGTGTTAAAGCTAGCCAGGCAAAAGTACTGGCCTTATTTGTCATGTTACAAGCTTGCAGTATTCCAAGGATTTGGCCCTGCCTGTTCCTGCAGCAGTTGCAAGAATAATATTAATAAAGCATTTAATATTTGCACATTCAAAGGATTTCACCATCAGTTGCAAATGAACTCTAACGGAGACTTACCCAGGGCTGACTCGACTGAAGTAACTACTTTTAATTGTATTAAATATGATTCTACTCTTTCTACAAAGCCATCCTGCCATGTGCCTGTCTCCACAGCATTCCTTGGTGTTAGATTTACTGTTAAATCTCAGGCTTGCTTTTGTGAAGTTTCCCTGTTCCAAGTTAGCACATACACAGCACACAGAGGCTGAAGATCTGGCTCCATCTGCCTGACTGCTTACCCCTTCATGTATGTAAATCACACTTAGTGTAAGCGCTGCCTTACTTTTTGTGTATGTGTGTTTGTATATACATAGATTTGTATCTATACCCGTGATCCGTATCATGCTGTTTCTTGCTGAATTGCTTTCTAAGTAGACATTCTGTTTGTCTAAGAAACAGTTTAGATACTATGAATTTATGGATGAGCAAATTATAGTATTCGGAGTGAGAATTGCTGGGCTTTGCTTGCTTATTCCAGAAAGAGCACACACATTCTCTGCAAAGGGAAACAGGATCTGTTATTTACCAAAGGTGTGTTTGTGGTTGAAATTAATGCATTTTTAACTTGCTAAGAGCCACACTTGCTTGCAGCATCTAACTCCTAGTTTGGAAGATGCAATATACATGTGGGGAATGCCACTGATCATATTTTCATGGATTGTGTGTGTGTAAAGCTTGTCGAGTAGCAGGAGGCTAATGCTAAGCAGTGGTTCAGAAGTGCCGCAAGTGTCCTTGTGCTTCTCTGTTTGCAACTGAGCTAAAGGATAGGAGCTATTTTATGGTGCTTTAGGAGATTATGGCAGGATATTACCAAAGGGTTGCTGACTATACCATTAGTGTTCATGGCACTTGCAGCACTGACAGGTCTGGTTCACCCTCCAGAGATGCAGTCAGCATTTGCTCTCTAATCTTCCCTCGTCAACTTGGAGGAGGAGCCTGTTCTGAATGCTCTTAATGGGGAGCATTTTGAGGTAATAGATGGCAAGGTTAAGGCACAAATGGGTTCTGAGTGCTTTCTTACCCGAGTCTGCTTTGCCTTGCCTAGGGAAGTGAACACAGCTCCAGCCGTGTGTGCAACTCATCACTTCCCTTGAATGCGTTGCATCACCTCACGGAGAACTTGTAGCAGAATTCCTTTCTTCTCTCTGCAGCAGAGAGGAGGAATGAGGACTCTTCCTACTTCTGAGTGGGTGTGTTCCTTTTGTTCTAGTAACTGGAGGGCTTTCTGAGCTTCTCCCGGAAAGAGCAGAAGGGTTGTTATCATCATTAGTGTTGCTTCGTGAACTACTCATTTAGTGGGCAAACATCATAGACATGATGTATGTATGAATACCAGATGGCTGAATTCTGCTTGGACTCCACTGAACTTAGTGAAGTTTTATGTTAGCCTAATAGGCCAAATGCTTTCCTAAGTCACCTTCCTGGCTTTGTGGAGTTACAGCATGAATGAATAATTAGGGGACAGCTTTCCTAGGGGAAGGTGATAATCGTCTGTCTCTGCCCATGCTGAAGATGGGCAGAATCCTTTTGTTCGGGAGATCACTGATATGAAGTTAGTGTTATCCTCTGCAGAGAGCAGAGAACCTCTGCGCATAGGTCACACATTGGTCTTTTTTTCCCTTCAGGCTGGAACAAATGCCAAGAGGAGTTAGACTCAACATTTGTAAATCTGAAAGGCAATGCAGTAAAATTAACATTTGCCTGTGTCTGAGTGTATTAATTCTTGCTTACAAGAAAACACACAAAGGAACTTGTTAAAGGCATAAATTATAATTCAACTGTGTATGTATGATGAATCATGATCCAGTTTTGTCTGAGAGGGAGAAAGAGATTTGGCTCAGCTGTCTGGGTATCATTTTTCTCCAGAATTGCTAAGAGTGAGTCAAATACATTTCTCCCCACTTTTTTTTACATCCATACAAGTAAATATGTTCATCTGGGGCTGGGTGATGCACCTGAAGTCATTTCTCAGGTTTTAAGCACAGAAGGGGATCTCTGGAGGCTTTCCTCAGTGTATTTTTGTTGTGCTGTTTACTGTGCAGCTCTATAGCTGCGTTTTGGGGTTCTTTTTAATAGCTGCAGTTGTAAATAGTCTTTCCCCATTTGCAGAATTTCATCCCTGTTTTATGCTAACCTGAGTTCGGGGGTTGCTTGCTTCATTTCCTGGATTGAGTGGATATGCATGGAATGTTTAGATTATTGGGGAAGTACTGTTTTGGCCTATTTGTGAATATAGCTTTGGGAGAGAGGTAACCTTGCAAGCAAGTAGAGGGAACTTTTGCACTCTGGCCTTTGGTTGCTCCCTCTTCTCTATCCAGTAAGTCCCCCAAAGCCATTGCTATAACTGGTACTGTAATGGTTTCTGGAAGCCCAGCATTAGGATTTGGCTGTCCTTGGATGAATGTGTTGTCACCCATAGTTTTTGACTATCTCCCAGCAG